GACCGGGAAGCCAACGGGAAAGGCTTTGACATTGTTCCCTCTGATGCTGCCCCCTCTGATGCTGCCCCTTCTGATTTCAAAATCAAGCAGGATTTTGAAAGTAACATTCGACTGTGCAATGGGGAAATATTTTTCATAACAGGGGTAAGTTTCATAATAGGAAATAATGTTTGCCAGTTAGAGATTTTTTTTTTAAAGCCCTAGATTTCATCACATTAGAGATGATATTCTTTTTTTTTTTTTTTGGTTTTTCAAGACAGGGTTTCTCTGTGTAGCTTTGTGCCTGTCCTGGAACTCACTTGGTAGCCCAGGCTGGCCTCGAACTCACAGAGATCCGCCTGGCTCTGCCTCCCGAGTGCTGGGATTAAAGGCGTGCGCCACCACCGCCCGGCTAGAGATGATATTCTTGTTCAGTGTTTCTTCATTAGAAATTTTTATATATCCTCCTTTGCGATGAATATTGGTTTGTAGTTTGTTTTTTTTTTGTTGTTTTTTTTTTGTTTTTTCAGCAATGTCTTGTCTGGATTAATATCAGAATGCAATGGAATAATTGGGAATAGTTGAGCTGGAAAGCATTACTTTCCTTCTTTATGAAAGATACAGAAAGGAAACTTCCTGGTAGTGACTTGGAAGTTTGGATAACAAAGGACAAGGCAAGACACAGCCATCCTTAGTTGTAGCTTCAGCGTAGAAACTTCAGAAATTGTGCCTGTTCTTGTCTAGGCCTCCTCCCAGCCTGAAAGTATTCTGAAAGGGCTGTGAGGGAAAGTGTACGAAGTTCTGAGGACCGGAACTTTCTATTTCTGTTCGTTGAAATACTGAAATGTGAAGGCATTCGATGAAGTATGGATTTTAAGCCTTTTCAAGCTCTTTGTTGTTGTTATCGTTGCCTCATTCTGGGTATCGAACCCAGAGCCTCACACGTACTGTCCACATGCTCTGCAGCTACAATTTCAGCCCCCAAGCAAAATTCTTAATTTGCTATATAATGCTTGGGTCTTACGCTGCACCCCAAGACAGACCGTTGTTCTCACATGCATGCTTTGTCTTGGTCCCAGGATGTAACTGATATCACTTTCAAAAGAAAACGACTTCTGACCATCAACAACGAGGCTGGCTTGGAAGTGACCGTGGACTTCAGCAAACTGATGACGCACTGTCAGATAAAACACGCCTGGGCAAGGACCATTCATACTTTTCAGGTAGGAGCGGGTGTTTACAAAGTTATTTGGGTACCTGGTTGATTCGTGAGTTTATCATCGGTGTGGCAGAATGCTTGGCCAACAGTGGTTGCAGGGAGAGTTATTTTGGGGCTTACGGTTTGCGGGTATGGGCCCTCATGGCGGGGTGGGCAGGTACGGAGGCAGGAGCATGAGGCAGTTGGTCACGTTGCATCCATAGTCAGGAAGCAGCGAGAAATGAATGCTGGATACTCAGCTCTCTTGTCTTCTTTTTATTCAATCTGGGACCCCAGTGCAACGAATGAATGCCGCCATATTTAGAGAGGGTCTTCCCACTTCAATGAAGGCAGTCTAGAAACCCCGTCACAGAAGCGTCCAGAGATCCGTCCTCTGGGTGACTCCTGATCTCATCAGGTTAACGGTCAGGGTTGACTCCAGCACCCGCCACAGCGTGACGCGCTTCACGTTGTTTTGTTTTGTTTTTTTAATCTCTTTGGCTGTTATTAATCTTACTTTTTTCCAGTGCCGTCCTAGCCTCTCCCTTGACATTTTGCTTTGATTCCTGGGAGCTGCTTTCTTCCAATGTAGGGCATGTTCGTGACAGGTCACTGAGCTTCCTTCCTGTTACCTTTCCTTCTGTGCACGAAAGCACAGGAGATGCCCGGCAGACATAAGCATTCTGTTCTCTTTGGTGCTCCCTCCATTTTGAGGAACTCTGACATTACCATGGCACTCGAACCCTCTGCTCCCTCCCACCCTCTCTCTCCAGCGTGGCTTGACATGGACTGCACTAAAGTCTTTAAACTTTGACATTTTATTTATTACATATCTTTTGTGCATTATTTTTTATTTTTTAACTATTTCAATAAAATATTGATTGCTGGTTCTTGAACACGCCTACCCAACTTAAATTTTGTACGTATTTCCAGATGTACACCCCACCTTGCTCAGAGTGACTTCTGTCTTGTATTTGATATGTGTGTTATTCTGGTTCACACACACACACACACACACACACATACACATAATCTGTCTATCTTTCTGCCTTTCTGTTTCTGTGTGTGTGTGAATATGTGTGTGTGTGTTTATATATTTTCCTGTGCTTTCAAGGTTTAAGCAAAGAGTGTCATCTTACATCTTTTTTATTTTTGGCCTTATCAACTTTGTTGGTATACCTTGCTATTCTATTGTTATAAATTTGAAAGGATTTTTACAAATGTATACTTACCCTCCAATTTTGTAAACAACTCCCTTAGACAATTTTTAATCTTATTTGAGCATAACAGGTTTAGAGAAGAGATGGGAATAGCTCAGGGTGTCCCCATGTGTCCTTCACCGGCTTTCTAGAATGTCAATATTCTTTATGACAGCTTGGCAAATAGCATATTTGCCAAGATTAGAACATTCCCATTACTATATCATTGCTGATGTTGAACATTACTGATGAACATTACTGATGAATTAGTGTGTGCTGCTATCAAAATGTCCGGACTGAACGTAGCCCCAAACATGAAATTGCTTTCTGGTGCTTACACAGAGACGTTGGGAGCTTTCCTTCCCATGTCCTTGGTTTGCTAAACTTAGAAACCCAGGGTCATCATTCTCTTTTCCTTATGTTGATGAAATAATTGATGTAACAGTGACCGGAGTAAAAGAAAATCCGTGGGGCAGCCTTTTAGAGACACGCTAAATACAACTTCAGTACTTTCCAGAAATATGTGTGTGTATGTGTATGTATGTGTGTGTTTGTATAAGTACACGTGTGCATGTGTGCACGTGGAGGTCAGAGGACAACCTCAGGCGTGGTTCCTCAGGGGCTCTTTTCAGCTTTTGTTGAAACAGGGTCTCTCATTGGTCTGATTTTACCATAAAGTTAGGATGGCTTCACCAGGCTTCAGAGATCTGCCTGTCTTCGCCTCCCATCTCACCAGGACTGGAATTACAAGGACACACCCCCGAGTCTTCCTTCCTCAGCACGGTTTCTGGAAATGGAACCCACGTCTCCGTGTGTGAGGAAGGCGCTCTACCTGGGAGCCGTCTCCCAAGCCTTTATGCTGTGTAGTCCGTTACATACTTAGGTTGTCTTTATGTGGGGCAATCAGGGTTCTTGTTTTAATATAATCCAGATCATATATAATTATATATAGTATCATCCATTTAGAAATGCTTTATGTATTTGTGCATGCACGTACCTATGTGTGAGTATGTGTCTGTGTGCTCGTGTGTGTGTGTGTCAGATGCACTCATGCATGTGGGAGCACATGTGTGTGGAAGCCCGAGGTTAATGTCAGGTGCCCTCACTAGCTCCTCACCTGTTCTTTGAGACTCTAATTAAACCTGGAGCTTGTCAATCTGGACAGCAAGCCCTGGAGAATCTCTTGTCTCCGCCTCACGCACAGTGGGGTTCCAGGTGTAAATTACTTGGATTGATTGATTGATTGATTTGCTTATTATGTGTTTATCTATTTATTTATTATTTTTCCATGTGGGTTCTAGGGATGCAGACCAGATTCTTAAGCTTGTGACCAGCCCTCCACTGGGAGAGCCATTTTTTCCAGCCAATCTCTCTCTGTCCCTGTCTCTCTGTCTCTGTGTGTATGTGTTTAATGTATCTTTGATGCAGGCATATGTGGTGTCTATACATATTTACATAGTCTCCTGTTATTGGCTATTTTATGTGTCTTTTTTTCTTTGCCATTATTAGTAACTTTAGTGTAACACATACCTAACCCACGTTGGTTTGTACAGTCGTTTCAAAGTCTGTGGTTAGGGAGCTTGTAGCGCTCTGTGTAGTCGTTAGAGTTTGTTTTTGGTCACCAGAGGCCTGCTGTGACCCCGTGGAACCTGACGTTGGTAACGCATCTAGCAAACGTGAGTTCTGAGATAATGAATAGCATGCATGGATTCTGGAGGATGAGTGGATGGATGCAGACCCGCTGGCCAGGTGGAAGAACATGAGAGTACCGCGCACGCGGACTTCTCTCCTCTCTTAGTCTTGTGTGTGTGTCTGCTGGTGTGCATGTGCATACTTGCGTGCCTGAGTGCAGATGTGCCTGTGTGGAGGTCAGAGCAGCCTTGAGCCCTTGTTCTCCATTGGTTTGAGATGAGGTCTCCTTGTTTCTCCTCTTGTCTCTGCCAGGCTTAGCTAGTGAGACTTGAGCTGTACTCTAGGCTTTCATGAGGGGTCTGGTTATTCAAGCACTTTCCCCCAGGGAGCCATCTTCCCAGCCTCCGGCCCGAGCCCGCCCTGCTGACTTGCTGGTGCTGAGTCTCCTCACTGTTTTCACCTCCCAGGGGTCCGAGGAGGACACAGTCGCCTACGTGGTGGGGAAGGCCGGCCGCCAGCACTGGCAGCACGTCTACACTGCAGTGACCAGGGGTCACTCCCGCGTGTACGTCATCGCGCAGGAGTCCGAGCTCAGGAGCGCCATCAGGAAGCGCAGTTTCCCCAGGAGGACTCGCCTGAAGCACTTCCTGCAGAAGCAGCTCTCCAGTGCCCGTGCATCTCCCGCTGGCTTTCCATCCCAGCCTTCAAGCCCTCGACTTGGAGGAACGCCCAGCACACAGCCTCCAGCATCACCCCTCTATAGAACCCCAGACAGCAGAGCCGCCGCGGACAGCTCCGGGGGTGAGGCGTCTCCAGCCACCCAGGGGAGGTTCACCTTTGATGAAGGATGGTTGTCAACTTCTTCCAATGACATGGATACGGACGAGGAGTCAGCACCGCTTAGAGGGTCCAAAAGAACGGGCGATGGCTTCCCATGGGATGACGAAAGCCCCAGTAAATTCCGAATGGTAGGAGCGATGTTCCCCTGTGCTCATGTTTCCTTTAAACCTTGCCCTCTGCAGTGGGCCCGGACGGGACTGTCTATTTCTGTCAGGGTATCCCTGTGCCGTCAGGACCTCAAGACCGCTGGTGTCTCACCTCTTTCCCAAGCTGCTCTTCTGTGTCCGCTTGGTGTTAGCTCTTTCCTCATCCATCACTGGGGGATGAACTGGTTGGTTATTCCCATTGCCTGCTCACCATCCTTCCCATATACTCCACTCTCTGGGATGCTCACTCAGTTCCTTTGGGTAAAGGCTCACTCACTGTGCCGTAAGTGGGCTCTTGAGGCTTCTCGGTCTAGACTAGCTCTCCCAGCACCATGGGATTTCTCGCTGTCACCTTTTGGCTTCAGTCAGTCAACTGTTTTTATTGACCAATTCACTAAGGGAATCAATTAATTTTTTTATTCATCTCTTCCTTTTGACTTTTATATTTTGGAGATGTAGCTGTCAACAGGGTGACTAGATGGGAGAAGGCAAAAGGGGATAATCCTGAATGATTCCCTGCCTTCTGGCTGAAACAGTTTGGGCAAGAGCAGAGCCATTTACTGAGAGGAAAGAGACACAAGATGACCTTGTTTGAGGAAATCACGCGTCTTCCCCTGGCAGGCGGTAATAGTTGCTCCGCTTAGAGATGGTTCCAAGAGACGCTTACCGGTCGGTTGATTAATGTACCTGCTACAGATTTGCTAGGTGGGGTTCAGTTGAGACGAAAGTGCTAATGAACCTGCCCAGGTTCTAAAGGGTGATACTCATGACCACTGCCTGAAGAAGGTACGGGGCATATAACGGTCTCTAAGAGTCTGCCTGTCAAAGAGTTTAACTGTGAGGTGACGGCAGATGACTGGGAGAGCTCGGTATGCAGTTGAGAGGTAGGGCTGCAGACACAGGGCAGTCAGGACGGATGGACAGAGAGTCTTCTGAAGAGACTGTCCATTCTGATTGGAGTGGAGATCCCTAGGAACATTGTAAGTGCTTGTGAGTTGAAATTTAAGGAGGTGACCTTGACCTTGATGTAATGGATGGTGATTAGGGGAGAAATCGTAAGTTCCTAGCATAAAGAAACCCTGGGTATGGACGGTGATTGGTCTAAAAGTCAGGTGCTTACAACAGGGAAGGAGGAGAGATGCTAAGGGGCTGAGCTGATGGGTCCCGAAGATGAGTGAGGTACGGCTGGGGTTGAGCCAAGAATGGCACATATGTGTTTGGCCTGGGCGTAGGGTGGAGCCAGGTATCACTAATCAGAATTAGTATTAGCGACATGTTTTGTGGGGAAACAGACTGTCCTTTTTCTTCCATGGCAATAGAAGTATCCATGGTGATTCTAAGCCTCATTCTATACCCCGGTGCAGATATGACATTTGATATGACATTTCCATCTTAGTGTGACCCCCCCCCTCGTGAAAGTAGCCTTGCAAAAGCCCTGAAGCGAGGCTTTTTGACCAGTGCGATAAAGGGACAATTCTAAAGAAAGAGCCTTCAAAAAAAAATTTCTTGAGTTATATTTCTTCTCACCGACATTGGGTGAGGGTTATGATTTCGTGTGGTGGTACAAAGAGAAAATGGCAGTGTTACTCAGCCCCAGGCCTGAGTCTGCTGGAGCCTTTCTACTTTGACCAAGACCAGTATTGCAGATCTGTGAACGTAAGCGTGAACTTGGGGACTGTGGTGTGCTGGCTCACGTCCTTGCCTGATGACATCAGCCCAAAGTTTGCTCGTGGAAGGGGATGATGGTCTTTCTCACAGGCTTTGCCAAAAGTATATGGCCTCTACGGGAATCCCTGTAACCAAGGAAACAGAATTCAGAATGTTAGGACTGGTAAATGAGAGACTTCTATATTCCCATAATTCTAGATGAATATATCATTTCTGAAAGAAAAATCCAATGACAAGGGCCGTCCATATACCTTTCATTCAAATTCACATTTCTACCTACAAGCCATGCCAGCATTTAAATTCTACCCGTGAAGACGTACATGGCTGAACTACAGGGATAAGTTTTGAGAAATGCCTCCTTAGGCATGTTCCGTTGTTGTGCCAATGTCCTCGGCGTGTGCTCACACCAGCGTAGATGGCTGTGGTTAGGGTGGCCTCTTAGTGCACAACAGTCAGTCTGAGTTGTGTGAGGACGCCTCATATGCCCTTTGACGGGGTGAAAAAAAATGTAAGTGGATCGTTCTCTACATCAGTGGTTCTCAGTCTTCCTAACGCTTTTGTCATGCCCCCCCCCAAATTATTTTCATTGCTACTTCATTAACTGTGTTTTTGCTATTGTTATGAATCGTAATGTAAATATCTGTACTTTCCGATGGTCTTAGGCAACCTCTATCAAAGTCAGTCAACCCATAAAGGGGTCATGACCCACAGGTTGAGAACCATTGCTCTAAATAAAATAATAAAGGCATCACCTAGAAGCTTAGTCATTGTCTAGTGTTATATACTTTCCATATCAGCAGGTTTACATCACCAACTCCACAAATCTGTGGCTACTGCATTGCACTAGTCAGTAGGAAAACTTTAGCTCCGTTTTGATCTTAGGGAACTACTATTATGTTATATACGGTTCCTGATTGGCCCAAATGTCATTATGGTCTGAGTGACACTACTAAATGACTGAGCCCTTCCTTGCTTTCATGTTTCCTAGTACATCAACAGCTACGGGGCTTTTAAAAAAAATTCCTGAAGGGACAATGTTGACCTGGTATCTTCTTGCCTGCTTCGAAAATAGGAAATGGAAAATACAGTTGTACTTTGTGATATCTGAGCGAACCCTGCTAAATTTATCAGATAAAACAATTATTTCCAGAAAATAGGTTTCTGTAAAATGTACATTGTAATATAAAAAGCAAGCTAGCTAAGACAGTCACAATGGCCGAGGGAAGGTCAGCCCCTGTATTAGTCCAAGTTCCCAGGGAAACAGTCACATGCATGGTCTGTCTGTCGATCGGAGTGTCTGTCCAAGTAGACTTCGTTGGAAGGAGCCTGCTCAAGTGATTGCGGAGACCTGCAGGGGAGATTTGTAGACTCAAATGTAGACGATGCTGTAGCGTGAGTCTTGAAAGTGGGCAGGTACTGACCTTCCTGGGGAACAAGCCTTTCCTGTTAAGGCTTTCAGATGACTGGATGATGAGGTCCATCATCCAACCTCGCAGAGTGTAATCCACATCACCGGCTTAAATATTTCACTAAATCATGCCTTTGTAGAGATGCCTAGAATAAATCCAGGTTCCAGAAGTTCAGGCAAGTTAGTAGAAGTGGTTGATGAATCACGCCCAATCTCTAAAATGTACAGATAACAGCATCGTGGAGATGAGTTCTATTTCTTTTCCCTTTTCCTACGATGGTAAAAACTGAGGGCCACACTGGCCTCGTGGCTGCTGCTTGGGCATCACGAGAAGCAGGAAGAGTGTGATCCTGGCACTGCTATGCTTCGTGTACCACACAAGAGCTGTCTTCATTGGCAGTTGTACAGGACCGTGTGCTTGAGGACTCCTTTTCATCTTGCAGTTCTTAATGTTTGCACAGGGATCCTTCATTGTAACTCTCTGCCTTGCTCCCAAATGATATAGTAAGCCCTACCCCTTGCTTTTAGAAGTTAGATGCCTTTATTTAGGCAACACACATTTACTTCTCCATGTCAGGCCCTTAGGTACAGGGGATGCTACGGGGGCAGGAGCAGATATGATCCTCCAAGAAGCAGATAGCCCATTGGTGGGTTGCTCAAGCCTTCAAGGATTGTGAGGCATGCATTATTTCTTCTCCAGCAGCAGTCATAGGGGAATGGAATTGCCCATGGTAGGCAAGGTATATTTTTATAAAATTAACTTTATTTTTCTTTTCAAACAGGTTGAACAACCATCTCCACAAGTATCTTCTATATTTCAGAATTTGAGGTTGAATAAACTAGCTCCTAGACAACTTTTCGAACCCACTGACAATCAACAAAGGATTAAGTTGGGTGTGGTGGATCACACCGGTAATCCCAGCAGACAGGAAGCTGACAAAGGAGACTCTTGATTTCCAGGCCAGCCTGGGCAACATCCCGAGACCGACCGAGACCGACGGTGTTCGGGCAACATCACCAATGAAAACCGCTAAATAGAAAGAATTTTACTTCATATCGTTCAAAATAATTCTTTTTCCTTTCAAGGCAAAGTGAATATTTTAGCTTCAATGTTATAAGCTATGAGATGATGACTGTAAATTGGGATTTGAATTTTGGGCATTTGCCCCCAAAATAAATTTTTTTATTTGTATTTTTAAAGCTGAATTTAAAAGCAGATATTTTAAATTCACCTGATCAAAGCAAACCATGATGCTGTACATCCTCTGTCGTCCTGAGAACAGTTGACACTGGACGGAGATCATGGGGAAAGACTCTCCCGTTTTAGGGATGTTGTACGTTTTGTGAGAATGCCGTGGGATGACGGTGGATCTCCTTGGCCGGCACACCGAAGCTGTAGCAAAGGAGGACTGATTGTACCTGTTGATGTCCACACATTCAAGGGTGCTGTGTTTACCTCAGATGGGTCATTTACAAGACCATCACTCACTCCATCCCTGCGCCTGGGACTTGGCATACTTGGGACTTTCCTTGGTTATGCCTTTTCTAGTTGGGAGTAAGTTTTAAAATATATCCCATCGTAGGAAACCTTTCTCGTAAAGCAGATTGGTTTTTTTAAATATTTATTGCCAAGTGGTTCGGTGGATTGGATGTGTCTCCCCAAACACATCTTGCGGTAGTGGATGCCTAAGGAAAGTCACATTTTGCTGTGTTGACCTCTCTTGGTTTTTTTGTTCTTATTTTATTTTATTTTGCCACGGGTTGACAAGTCCTCACCAGACGTGTACACCTGGCTCTGGGCTCACCTTGTCTTGCTTTTTGCTGTATTGCAGTTCTCAGAGAGTATGTTATTCATATATTGCCACTCTTCAACAGTTCAGGCCATAGAAACTTCGGTCAACAAAGTGTTTTAGCTCATGTATGCACCTCACTTTATTTTTACACACACTGCAGTTTTCCTGTTAGATTGCCAGTATAGTACAGAGACATTTTTCTTTCTTTTCCTCTTTTGGTGGTGGTGGTGGTGGTGGTGGTGGGGGGGGGCTGGGCTGGGGCTTGAGCTCAGGACTCATGCCTTCGAAGCAAGTACTTAACTACTGAATTACATGTCTGGCCCTAAACATAAGTCTTAAAGGTACTGGGAGGCAAACAGTATTAGTCATGTAACTCTTCTGATGGTCATGTTCTTTGATTGCTATGCTGAGGGTCTAGTCTTCAGTGTCTCCAAGAGACGCCTTTATGAGCAATAAAGTCACTATTCTGTTTGCTAAGTTGGCCAGTCTGTGGTTTTTGTTTATAATAACACAAGGAGCTAAGACCAATGGTAAAATAAAAAAGTTAAGTACTCGTGTGGAAGAATTCTCTACAATTTACCCACTTAACGAATACGATTCAGTGGCTTTTAGTATAGTGAAAGAATTGTGAAACTCACTACAGTCAATGTCAGGGCATTTTCATAACCCCCCACGCCCACACCCCACTAGGCGTAGTCTACTCACGTACTCGAGCTGATTGATTTGTCTTTGTAGATTTGCCTATAATGTATAGTTCCTATAAGTGAAGTTATACAGTATGAGGTCCTATTGAACTTACTTCCTGAACAATGCTATTCAGATTTCACCTACATTGTATCAGTAATACATTGGTAATTCAGCTCACTCATTACTAATACTCCTTTGTATGGCTATATTGCATGTTGAATTTATCCGTTCATTAGTGGGTTGACGGTGGTTTCTACTCTGGCTGTTACAACTAATCCCGCTCCGAACACTTGTGGTAAACATTTTTGTGTGTAGATACATATTTTCATTTCTTTGGGTTACGTCACTCGGTGGAATTGCTGGGTTATATAATAAGTCCGTCTTTAGATTCTTAAGCATTTAGTTAGCATTTGACATTGTTACCAGTAGTTATGAGAATTCTGGTTTCCCCAATATTTGTGTGAGAGTGTGTGTGTGTGTGTGTGTGTGCGCGCGCGCACGCACAGTCACACGTACATGAGTGTATGATGTATGTGTATGGTATATGTGTACCTGTTTGTGTTTGGGGGAGGGTGCATGCATCTCTCTGAACATGAAGGAGGATGTTGAGTGTTCTGCTCCGTCACTGCCTTAATCCCTTTAGGCAGGGTCTGTCAGCTGACCAGGAACTAGGTTAGCGGCTGGAACTTTGCGGATCCTTCCGTCTCCTCAGCATCAGGGTTACAGGTATGCATGACCACATCTGGCTTTTTACATGGGTTCTGGGATTTGAACTCGTCTTCAGGCTTGTGCAGCAAGTGATCTTACTCTGAGCCATCTCCCCAGCCCCCTAACATTTTTGTTTTCTGTATGGTCATCATAGGAGAAGGACATGGTATTTCATTCTGATTTTGATTGGTGTTTTTCTTACAGCTAAAGACGAGGAACAGCTTTCATGTATTCACTGGTCTTTTATATGTCTTTGGAGAAAGATCTATTCCTGTCTTTTGACTTTTACATTAGGTTAGTATCAAAATCTGAGAATTCTTTTATAGTCTACATATAAGTCCTTTATTAAAAAAAAAAAAAAAGACCTGCATTTTTTTCTCTGATTCTGGGAAGTTTTATGTTGAAGGACATATTTTTAATTCCAGTGATGTCCACTGTAGGATATTATGGCTTGTGGCTCTTTGGTGTTACAGCCAGTAAACCATGGCCTGTCCAAAGCCATGAAGATGTATTTCTAGGTTTTTCTTCT